AGGAGCACCTGCGGAGGTGTTGGAGACTTTGAGGAGGGAGAGACTTTTCGCAAAGTTCTCCAAGTGTGAGTTCTGGTTGCGCGAGGTGCAGTTTCTTGGTCATCTCGTCAACCGTGATGCAAGTGGGAGGTCCCGAGGTCTCCATCTGAGATTCGGAGCTTCCTGGGGTTGGCAGGGTATTATCGGAGATTTATTCAGGACTTCTCCAAGATAGCAGTGCCGCTCACCCGACTAACCAAGAAGTCGGTGGTTTTTCGTTGGGGCCTGAGCAGCAGGCGGCGTTCGAGACTCTCAGGCAGAGATTGTGCGAGGCTCCGATCCTTACCTTGCCAGAGGGAGTAGAGGATTTCGTAGTCTATTGTGATGCTTCGATCACAGGTATGGGAGCAGTATTGATGCAGCGAGGCCATGTGGTAGCTTATGCCTCGAGACAGTTGAAGCCTCACGAGGCTAATTATCCTACCCACGATTTGGAGCTGGGGCAGTTGTGTTTGCCCTCAAGATTTGGAGACATTACCTTTATGGGGTCCGCTGTACTATATACACGGATCACAAGAGTTTGCGATATCTTATGGATCAGCCGAGTTTGAACATGAGGCAGAGGAGATGGTTAGACGTGCTGAAGGACTATGACTGTGAGATCCTTTATCATCCAGGGAAGGCCAATGTGGTGGCCGACGCCCTGAGCCGCAAGGTGTCGACGGCCCCTATCAGAGATCTGTGTATGAGGATGACAGTGATCACTCCGTTGTTGGAGCGGATCAAGGAGGCTCAGATGGAGGGCCTCAAGGAGGAGAGGCAGAAGTGTGAGAGGATAGTGGGCCGAGTAGCTTCATTTGATTACGACAGTCGGGGTTTGTTGACGCTTCATGGTAGGATATGGGTACCGTACTGGGGTGGGGTACGGCAAGTATTGATGGACGAGGCTCATAAGTCTCGATTTTCTATCCACCCAGGAGCGACGAAGATGTATCGAGATCTTCGACCTGATTATTGGTGGCCCTGCATGAAGCGAGACGTCGCTTGGTATGTTGAGAGATGTTTGACCTGTCGGAAGGTCAAGCGGAGCATCAGAGACCTCACGGCAAGATGCAGCCGTTAGACATTCCCGTGTGGAAATGGGAGGATATCACCATGGATTTTGTCACCAAACTCCCCAGGACCGCACGTGGAGTGGACTCGATATGGGTAGTAGTGGATCGGTTGACGAAGAGTGCCCATTTTATTCCGATTCAGGAGAGTATATCGGCGGAAAAGTTAGCCGATATCTATGTGCGGGAGATTGTGGCACGTCATGGAGTGCCGGTATCGGTGGTGTCGGACCGAGATGTTCGATTCACGTCCAGATTCTGGAAGCGGTTCCACGACGAGATGGGTACTCGTCTCCATTTCAGCACCGCTTTTCATCCTCAGACAGACGGGCAGAGCGAGAGGACGATTCAGACTCTTGAGGACATGCTTAGGGCATGTGTTCTAGATTTTGGGGGCAGTTGGGATACGTATCTTCCGTTAGCGGAATTCTCGTATAACAACAGTTATCATGCGAGTATTGATCGACCTCCTTTTGAGATGCTGTATGGAGGAAGTGTAGGACCCCGATTTGTTGGGGGAGGTCGGTCAGCGAGTCATCGGGAGCACCGAAGTGGTGCTCAAGACGACTGAGTTGATCCAGCAGGTCCGTAGTAGGCTGCAGACTGCGCAGAGTCGGCAGAAGAGCTACGCCGACAGGAGGCGTTCGGACTTGGAGTTCCAGGTGGGCGATATGGTTCTTCTGAAAGTCTCACCTTGGAAAGGTGTCATCAGGTTCCGGAAGAGGGGCAAATTGGGCCCCAGATTTATTGGTCCCGGGTGGGTCGGGTTGCTTATCGGTTAGATCTCCTGAGGAGCTTAGTCAGATACACAACACCTTCCACGTGTCGCAGTTAAGGAAGTGTTTGGTGGATGAGACGGCAGTCGTTCCCTTAGAGGATATCCAGGTTGATAGCGGCCTGAATTATATTGAGAGACCGGTCGCGATTCTGGAACGGAAGATCAAGACCTTGAGGAACAAGGTAATTCAGCTAGTAAAGGTGCAGTGGCAGCACCGGAAGGGGTCTGAATGGACGTGGGAGGCTGAGGAGGAGATGAGAGCGCACTACCCGGAAATTTTTGCAGATCCAGCCGTAGCAGACTTCGAGGACGAAGTCTGAGACAAGTGGGGGAGAATTGTAACGACCCGTTCCCGGTACGTTAATTCATTGGTAATTGTTGTAAGTTTTCAAGAGGGACTCGGCGAGTTCTAGCCTGACTCGCCGAGTAGGGTCGCGACTTCGAGCACGCGTGAGCCGGGGACTCGGCGAGTCCATATCCCTGACTCGGCGAGTCCATCCGTCTGGGTGAAACCCTAAATCCCCGGGGTTGCCCACTATTTAAACCACCTTATAGCCCCCATTCTCGCCTCCCTCACCCTGAGAACACAGTGAGAACCCTAATCCTCCCTTGAGAGCTTATAAGTGTTTTGGTGCCATTTTGTGAAGGTGTGAAGAAGGAGAAGAAGAAAGAAGCAAGGAGAAGAGTTGTAGTGCAAGGATCCAAGGGCAAATCTGAGTTAATTGAGGTATTTTCGGAGTTTCCTCTTGTTATATGCTTTAAACTTCCATTAGAGCTCTCCTAAGAGCTAGTTGATGCTTGTTCCAAGCCTTATGTTTGCATGAATGTCTTAATAAGTCGAAATATCTTTGGATCTGAATGATGGGGTGTTGTAGAGCCCAGATCTACTGTCTTTTTGGAGTTACTTTGCATATTAACCATAGATCTACCCATTTTGTGCATCTTTTAGCCTTATTTCCCTTATTCATGAGGTTGTACACGTAAAGTTGGAAACTTTACGTGGTAAATCAGCTTATTGGACCCAGATCTATCAATTGTATGTGTTGGATTCAAACAAAATCGAGTAAAAATCAGTTGCATGGCGGCAACTCGGCGAGTCGGGAAGAACGACTCGGCGAGTTGGGTCGCGAGTTCCCGATTCCTTCATTTTTACCAGTGTCGAGTGAACCCAGTGAGCTAGAGAGTGGACTCAGCGAGTTGAGGGTAAACTCAGTGATGGAGGGACTCGGCGAGTTGTTCATCAACTCGGC